ATGCTTCTCGACAGATATTGTACTAGTATTTAGTACTAGGTGTTTTAGTACAGCGTCACAGCATCTGTATACGACTTTAGGCGTCGTATCTTCTTAAAGCATTCCCTCCTCTAGGAAATCCTATACCTAAGATATCCGAGACTTACTCCCCTAGGTAATTAGGGACCGATCGAACATAGTACGACCGTTCCGCTTTTTAAGGCGCTTTCCGGTATAATTCCACTACCGTACCTCGTACCAACGCTCAAAGTTGTCCTTATACCTAAGCCTCTATAGCTAGCAATTTGACTTGATATCCTACTCTCCTATATAATCAGGCTCGACAGGGAGAATAAGGGAACTATCTAGTTCCTCTTCTACTGGACTCGGCCGTCTCGTTCTACGCCGCCTAACGTCAGGTTGTCGTCGGCGTCGACCTAGTGTTGGACTCGATAGCGCGTTGAGTGTCGTCCTATAGCGCTGGCGTAGCCGTGCGCTCGATCGCGTAGGGGTCCCGGAAGAGGTATCGGGCTAGGAGGAGGATTCGAGCCGGGAGCTTCCTACTCCTAGGGAGGACGAGAAGGAGGACGAAAACATAGTAGATAGACGACAATAGCGTAAAAGTCCAGAGGTATCTTGAAGAAGTAGGAGTAGAAAGGGGAAAAAGAAAGAGAATTTCCTGTACTCAATTATAGTGTTACGCTATAACAAGGGTATAGCCAATAGGATATGCCGACATTCTGCTACATCCGAGCCAACCTATCGAAACCCTAGTTCAGGCGTCGCTTGCTATTTACCCATCGCTTCCGCTTCTTAGTCTTAAACTTTAACAAGGGTAGCCAGTCTCTTGTCCTTCTTAACCAGTTCCTCGAGACCAGAAATCGAGAGGTAGAGTTCGTCTTCTTGGAGGAGGAGGAGCAGGATAGCTTCGAGAGTAATACTAGTATACTCTTTTACGCTACAATGGATAAGGCTTTCTATCACTGCTAGCTACATTGTCTGTTCCTTCGTAAGAGAGTTCTCTTTCTCGCACATCTTGTACGCTATCTTTGCGAGATGCTTGTTCTCCTTCATTGTCTTTGAAGGCAAAAAGCCGTTAGCTGTATAGTCGTAGGTAGCGGGAATGAGCTAAGAAGGGCCTGGCAATCGCCCTCTATAGTAGGCTTGAGCTTTAGTATCCTACGATAGGACATTCCAGCAAACGGCTCGCTCAATAGGCGAGAAGATCTTATGTAGTAATAGCATTCGGACTTCTTTGATGCAAATCTGGAATTGTGATTAGTTTCTGTAGTCGGCAAATATGGTCGGCAGATATTTACCTTCATTGTCTCGCTGCCAACGATTTTCAAGACCTCTTTTATGCCTTTCTTATTTGGTATATCCAGGTTCTCAAGGATAACAATCTTGTCCCAGAAGTAGTGAATAGAAGAGCGCTATTGATTGTAGGCCGTCGAAAAAGTAGAAGAGGATGCCTGGATAGCAAAGGTACCAATAGACTTAGCCCTCGCTTCCTCTATCTGTAGAGTCGAGAATAGATTGAGAACTGATTCCGAGGGAAGGCAATAGTTGCTAAGGCCGCTAACCCCTTTGTCGCACTCCTCGCTAACAGATAGATGCTCCTATTCCTACTCAATCTGGTCTTCTTTCTAGAATGTCAATCGTTCCTTAGAGTCGATATCGCCGAGTTCGAGAAACCAGTCGGCTTTATCAATCTTTGCCTGCTCATCGGGAGGAAGTATTGCACTCTTTCCAGTCTGCTTCTTTGTACTAAATTAGAAGTTAGTACTCAAATCTGCCGACTATATCCGCCGACCACATTTGCACTTACGCTTTTTGATTATACTCCTTTGTATGTATCTTTCTCCAGCCCTCGATAAGTTCCTATTGCTTATCTTTGGCGAGGCTTTCGAAACTCGTATACTCCTTGATTTGTGCCTTTTTGAATCGCGCGAAGGATTCGTTGCGCGCTTTGCGGTATCGATCCTGTGCCCTCTTTTCTTCGTCTATAGCGGCAGTACGCTCTCGGTCTCGTAAAGTGTTTGGCTTGAGGGAGTACTCCTCGAGTAACTTCGAGGCTGCGCCGAGCTTTGCGCGCTTGTTTGCTAGTGCCTCTAGGGCATTGCTCTTGCGTTTCGGCATAGTAAGGTTTCTAATGTTGGTATAGTAGTTAAAGAAGAACTCGGTCTGATTACGAAGGTAGGTATCGACGGCGCTAGTAAAGGTACGGAGGTACGGGTATTGTAGAGGTATTGTAGTAAGGTAGTGAAGTGAGAGAGAGAAAGTAAATTTACCCTACTAGGGCAATTTAAGGTTTAGGCAGCTGCCGAATCCCGGCATTAGTCACGCCGGGCAACGATACTACCTATCTTTCCGGACTAATAACACTCTACCGCACTACTGTACCGCCGACGTTATTCTAGATAATAAGTATAAGAACTATACGTAAGTCGCCCCCTCTAGGCGTTATTAATTTCGAATATAAGTTGTTATCCGTTCGTTCGCCACTACTAGGATAACTGCTAGCAGGGGTTATATATATATATATATAGTATATAGATATCTATATTAAAACGATATATATATTAAGTATAGATATCTAGGACCTATATGTAAAAACGCGTCTAAATTATATATACGCCCTAGAGAAAACAATAGGTCCTACAGCTATAGAAGAACGTGTTCGGCAGACGTAGTCGGCGTATAAGTCGTATATCCTACTAGCGGCCTTAGGATATATATAGAATCCCTGTATAGATTACTAATTACCTTCCCGCGAGATCCGATATACTCTCGAGATAAGCGCCTTAGCAAACTCCGGGTTTTCCTTATACCCCCCGTATTTTCCTTCTCTCTTTTCTTCTCTATCGTCAACTTTGTTAATCTACCGAGATATACTCAAAGCTCTCAAAATGCCTAATATAGATACTGTTTCCCTCTCTACCTACGTCTCTGCCTCCCTCCCTAGGGATAACGACGACTAACTCGACTATAGACTCGATTT